CTGTGTTTAAATGTCTTAGCAGAAAAAAACCACATTTACTGGGTTTTATGATACCTCCTCAAAAGCAAAAATGCTACAAATCCTCTTTTAAAATTTGCTATCATATGGATATTCAGTGCTAAGAACTTTCTGTCATGCTAATGTTAATGTCTATCCAATCAGCTGCTTGTTTTTAGAGCACTTTTCAAATGTTTCAGCAAAATTTGACTAAACCAGTGGCTCTGTAATGAAAAGGTTATCCAGAGAACTCTCGACTTTAGCACTGTATAGATTGGTAGGTTTGTAAGCCTGATAGACTATGTGCCTATTATAGGGGCTTCTGTAGAAGACAGCTTGATCTGCAAGGAGAGAGAGTACATGCAAGACCTAGAGCATGAAAATAAAAAGCTTGCTCCATTTCAACGCTCTTTGTATTTAGAAAGCCAAGAATTGTCTGGAAACCTGAGTTTATCAGGCTTAGCTAAGAGTTGATGAGAGAATCCAGCAGCACTAATTGGAAATATTATATTTAATATGTTCACGTATTTAGGGCAGCTATGCATCATCTTTTCCATAGAACATCTTATTTTTCTCCCAGTGGAGACCTTCCGTGAATTTTTGTTGAATGAGATCTCAGTCTGGTAGATGAGTGATTGATTGTTTTGATGTGCCAAAGCCTTAGGAAAAGGAGAGGTTCATTGCAGTATGCTGGGGAGTGAAGGGCTCTGAACTGAGAAGTTGGGGCTTTTGAGGACAGAGAAATGAGGAACATCTGATGGGCATGCATGAGCATGGTGCTTTGAGATGGTGTATTACAAAGTATAGGGAGCTCTCGGTCAAAACATGGTGATGGGGAGGTATGAGGACCGACTTCTGTTCTGAAACATCTTTTTTTGCTTTGAGAATGTAATAGCTCCAAGTATGTGAAGTTGAATGTGACACACGTGACTGGGAATCCCATATTGGAGAAGAAGGGTTGCAGTCTTACCATAAAGAAAGTATTTGGTGATTACGTTAGCTGGTATATTTGTAAGAGATGACAGTAAAAAAAAGAAAACAGCAAAAAAAGAAAATGTGATACATTTTCTCCTCTAAGCTTAAGAAGTGAAAACCTTCCTGCTGTGCTTAGATACACACATCTGCTCTCACTGAGTAGGAAAAGGAGACACATGGGAAATAATACACTTGTTTCTCTTGCACTTGATTCCCTCTTCTCTGCCCTGCTAATTGATTTTTACGAGGGACAGTAAAAATGTCCCTGTTTCTATAGTTTTCATTTAGTATTAATCAAGCACTTTTTTGTTTCCTAAAATGTGTTGACATTGTAAATATCCAGAAAGCTACTACATTTTGCAAGTTATCATGATATGAAAATCACCTGGTTAGGTGATTAGGTTAGTTACAATTTTTTTTTTGTTTGACAGCTGAAAATGTTAGCCCAATGATTATCTGTATTTTAAAAAAAAATTGAAAGAATTAACTCTATACAAATTACATATTGCGCTTTTTTATTTTCCTGATTTGTACCTCTTAAGTGCCATCTGCTGTTCTGAGTTTTGTTTAAGGGAAATGATGAAAACTTTCCTTTTGAGGTAGACCAGAGTCTGTTTTCGTGGACTGGTTGCCAAGTCTTGTCCTCATGACAGTAAACAGAAACATTAAAACAGAGTGAGAATCCTTTGTAATTCTCTAAGTATGTAAAATAGTTTGGACAAATGGAAATCAGAGACTGGAGACTTAAATTCCAGCAAGTCGCATCTTGCATATATAGGATTCAGTAACTAGTCTTCTCTTTTTTCCTTTTAGAAGCGTACAGTTCAGTTCTAAAGATACATTTTGAAAACAATTTTTAGTTTACATGATAAATGTTCTGTGATATTTTCATAAACAAAATCATATTCCAACAAAGTACTGCTTGGGTTTTTTAAGAATGTTTTTTTTAGTTTCGTAATTCTAAAAGTACTTTCCTTTCCTGTACATTGAGCCTGAATCAAAGATGTATTTGCTTCCAATGACTCTTGAGTATTTAAGCATATCTTGCATTTCATGACTGTCATTTTACTTTTGCTTGAGTTGGATGCATCAGCAAAAATACGAATTTTATTAAGGATTCTATTCAAGAAGACATGAATAGCTATTTCTGGAAAATTAATCTTCTTTCTGTAAAAAGTGGACAGTGATTTTGGTACAGACGCAACATAATATTTTTCAGAAAAGTTCACCTTAGTAGCTTTCATTGTATTTTTTTTAAACTTTTTCTTTCTGTGGCAGCTTTTTGGAAAGGCTTAAGTAAGAAGCTAAAATTGGGAAATCTTTGAAGATTTATTTAAACATATTTGAATTATTATTTTTAATAACAGATTAGGGATGCTTTTGCCTTCTTCACTTTCAGTGTTCAAATTGGCAAAATAAAATTGATTGTAAAAATGACAAATTTTTTTTTTCTTTAATCTTACATTAAGTATTTGTTTAATATTCTCCAGTTCAATCAAAAGTTCAAAAAGACTTAGAAATAAAAACTATTGTGGTCATTGTGTTTAAAGAAAATAGAAAGCAGAAAGCTTTACGCACCCCAGGTGAAGTAATGGGGTGCATTCTGTAGACAAAACGTGGAGTCATAGGCTTTTAATAATGCAGTGAGACATTATTAGAAAATTGCTCATTAACAATGGTAACCTACTTAGGACTTAATAGTTATCAAAACCCACATAAGTTCTTTTAAAATAACATTATTAGAACATAATTTATTTTTATACTTTTTTTTCCCCAGAGAATTACTGTGTAATCTATTTTAAAGAGTATTAAAAAGGCAAACCCCAGCATTTGAAGAGGCTTTTTTTGTTTGAAGGATTTTGTGCATCACTGACATTTAGTTCCCGTTTGCTGAGAGAAAGAAAAAGTTGAGGTATTTATGGTCACTTAGAACAGACTCACTGCGGTGTTAGAAAATCAGAACTGAAACACCTTCTCTGGCAAACCGTTTAGCTACTGTTTTCTAGGCATAGAAAATAAAACCAGGATATTCCTTTAAAAAGATTAAAATGCTCGAGAAAGTAATTAGCAGGATTGAGGATTGAATTGAGGATTGATACAGAAAGAATGACAATTCAGAGCAAAGACCAGATCTGACTGTTTATGAAGACACTGGTGTCTATGGATTTTTGAACATTTAATCTTGGAAAAGAAACAAGTTTATAAAAACAGTGGTACACCCTTTTCATGGGGTAAAGATGTTTCTTTCGGTGTTTTAGAATTTTTCTGATTGCTCAGGATACTATTTATGAGTGATCATCTCAACCTTGTATCCTGTAGTATCATGCCCTGACTATGGTTGACCCCCGATACTTAACTGGTTGGAGGAATAATTCTGTTCCACAAGTTGCTGGGTATGACCACTTTTATCAGTGGTCAGAGTGCTCTGTGTTTCCCTTAAAATAATTTAGAAGTTCTTTAAAATGAGTTTGGTTTTGAGGATGAGCTTCCATACTCACACGTAAAGACCTGAGTTTTTTTCTGAATTTTACTCCCTTCTGAGATTTCTCAGACAGCAACAGTGATGAATTAAGATGAATACTCAAACTAGAGAACAATCAGGATTCACATAGGGTGGATTGAAGCATGACTTTGTATTCTACTTGAAAAGTAACAGATTACTTAAAAGGCTGGATAATAGAAAATTTAAGCATAGCTATTAATTGTATTGCTAGGGAAAAGTAATACAAATTTTTACTGTGAATTGCAGGTTAATTACTTTTTAAATGACAGCAGATGAGAATGACCATGGTCTTACGGTAGCAACGCAATTGAGCCACCAGTGTAATAGGGTGGTACAGCAGCAGATGCTCTCCAGTCTGTCAAATTGAGTATTTCCAGCAAAGAAAGAAGTGTTAGTGTCACTGCACATGGAGTGCATTGTGAGAATTCTTCCACAGCTTTCTTCCATGCGTTTCTGATCACCCGAGAGAGATTAGTTCTAACTGGAGCAGTTGCAGGAAGGGCTACCACAATGATGCCAGGAACGGCGAGTCTATTTTACAAGAGGAGTTGAAGTTGTTTTGACAAATAAAATGAAGGCTGAGATGATACAAAATTGCTCTCCACAAAAACAGGGGAGTTGGGCCTAGTAGCCCAACTGTAGGGTCTGTTGCAACAGGACAAGGGGTAATGGTTAAACTAAAAGAGGGTAGATTCAGACTAGATATAAGGAAGACATTTTTTACAATGGGGGTGGTGAAACACTGGAACAGGTTGCCCAGAGAGGTGGTAGATGCCCCATCCCTGGAAACATTCAAGGTCAGGTTGGATGGGGCTCTGAGCAACCTGATCTAGTTGAAGATGTCCTGCTCACTGCAGGGGGTAGGACTAGATGACCTTTAAAGGTCCCTTCCAAGCCAAACTACTCTATGATTCTATGAAAAATACTAACAGGAATAAATATTAGTCAAGAGCAATGCATATTGCTGTTCAGTACTGGCGCAAGAACAAATGGCATTATCTGATTGTGAATATGTTGGAAATACGGAAGAAGTTCTCTGGCAGTTAGGAGGGAGTATCTGGAACAGAATTCCAATGGGAGTAACAAACACAGAGTTTTGTGGAAGCTTTTTGGTTTTGTTTTTACAAAAGCAGAATAAGAACAACAATAACAACATGGAAATTATTTTAAGAACTCAGTTTATGAAAGTAGTTCATTTTACATTTGTCTGAAAGCATTCCATGGTGGTAGAAAGCTGGATTTAATGGCCCTCACTTCTGTATTCCCTGTTTGGCTATTTTTCTATTAGTTTTGTCATCTATCCATTTAGTATGTGTGTTCATAGTTCTTGTCAGAGGCTTTCTGTTTTAACCTGTTACATCTTTATTACCAGTGAGTGGATTTATAGATGATGTATTTCTGCCCTAGAACTGTTGAGAAACCTAAGTTCTTGCTTAAGTTCTTCACGTAGTATGAATGAGACAATAAAGACCGTAAATGCCATTACTTGAATTAAGGCCAGAGAGATTGAATTATTTGCTTGAGTTAATGCAGGAAGTTGTGGCATAGCAGGAAATTGAACTCGGATCTCCTCAGTTCTAGTTTTTTGTCCAGCTGCAAAATGTTTCTTTGCTCTAACAGTCTCACATTAAAGTTCTTCATGTTACTTTCACTGTGTTGATCAGCCTGAGATCTACCAAGGATGCAGCAAATTACTAGTACAGATTAGATAGCAACTTGTAACATTAAGAATTGAACCATTCTTAAACTTTTAACAAAAAATGCTGAAATTTTCCCAAGAGTGATGATACTGTTTTGAATTATCACACATGTATAGTATCTCTCGTAAAGTTTTAACATAGATGGTTGAAATTAAAGGTCCCCATTTTTCTTTTTCATAAGGATCTATTATGTAGCAAGCTATTATGTAGCTAGGATATCTGCCTGAGAACCATACAACAATATTAGTTTACCATTGCTATTGCACCTGAAAACTGAATATAGTGGTGTTGACCCCTAAAACAGACCAGATAGCTGGTGGCATCTGTAATGTATGCTTGTAGGGCTAAGATTCGGTTGTCAGATAGGTCCTTTATCAGGCAGGCGCCACTGCAGCTGAATGAAATACTGAGCTGCTATAGCTTGATTAGCTGATGCTTTTGAAGATGGCCCATTTATGTCTCTACGCAGTCTTTATAGAAAAGACTGTGGACTTCAATTTGGGAACATCTTTTTTTAAAGAAAAAAAAAATAGGTATAAGTTCGAGTGAATTTCACGGTTCACTGACAAAGCAAAAGTTCTTAGTTGTGGTAGAAGTTTGAATGACATTGCCTTAATTTGAAAAACAAAACAAAACAAAACAAAACCCCAAAAAACCAAACCAAACCAAAAAACCCCCACTGCATTTTACTATGGTATATTTTTTTACAATGAGAAAATCCTTTGAAAATGCCAAAACCCAGGATACCCTGCCTGACCAATGAATATTATCCCTCTTATATGGAAAAACTGGAATGTTCAATAGAACCGGTCCTTTTGTCTTGAAAACTAGCCTCTAATTGGCTCCAAATATGCCATCATTATGTCATTTACTATTCTGGTCACAACTAGGAACTTAACATGGAAGCAGAGTAATAGAATGGCATAACAAGACATTTTGGTGTCATAGTGGACTGAAGCATATAAATTATACATTATTAGTTGTAAGATTTATGATATTCACTTAAGGACTTATTGAGCCTTTCAGGTTAATAGTTGATATACAAAAAATGCATTCAGTAAATATACAATATAGTAGAAGAAATTTTTAAAACAGACGTTACAAGAATTGATTCACAGGTCTTCTATCAATCTTATATGGAAAGAAGTGTAATATACAGAAATGTTTCCTTAGTGTTTAATTGAGCTGTAAATTCCTCATCAATGGATAGTGATGCAGGTACTAAAAGCATACATTCCATAAAAAAAGGGATAGGACAAATTTATGAATTAAAATCCAGTAAGTCTATTTTGTATAAAAGCTAGCACTGTGGCTTAAGCTGTGCTGCAAGCTGTGCTAGAGGCTGGTGAAACATTTTAGGGAGGTATCCCTGCATTGCCTATATGTTTCATCTTCCTGGATATTTGTGGTTAACCTTTGTCTGAAACAGGATATTGAGTAAAATGAATCTTTGGTTGAATTCAATACAGATATCTTTCTGTTTTGGTATAGTTATATTTAAATGTGTGATAAATAAAACTGAGGAAACCCATTTCTGGCTGTTAATTACAGATGCAGTTTTACACCTTGAAGAAACCACCATAATGTAAAAACATACTAGCAAATATTTTTTACAATGTATAGTTTGCTAGGTCCTGTATTTTTGCTTGGTAGACATCCCTTTTTAATGATTGAATGTCTGTAATACAGAAACTGGACCACATTTCATCAGAATGGTAGAGTAGATAGATCACAAATCTTCAGTAAAATTTAGAATTACTTTCATCCATTCTCTGGGAGAAACTATCAGAGATACATTTTTTGAGCAGGTAGAGAATTTGGGTGTGGCCCTAACTCTTCTGTGTGCAGGTTGTAGAGCTGCATGGCTTTGAAATCCCTCCAAAGTGACACAGCACCTAAGATTCTCTTGCCTGTTGGTATTTCTTAAATATGGTATGAATGGTTAGCTGTATTGAGCAGTTAAATCTTGTTTGGCTGAATGAAAGAGGATGATTTGAGTTCACTTTGGTTGTGTCTTGTGTCACTTTTCTCTGTCAAACATATGATACAAGTAAGTGCTAAAATATATATATAAATATGTTAATCTAGATCTTTTTTCCTCCTGTGAAGGACTCCAGAAACAATGAAACTCCTCAGTTAAGTTGTCATTACAAGAGGATTAGTGCATGTAATTATCCCTGTTACCATCACCTTTCACTTTTTTGCCTCAGTTCAACTTCAATGACAGTTTTAACTGCAGTTTTCTAGATGCAAAACAACTTCTAGACTTTTCAGAGTGAAGATAAGAAAATACTAGTTTCATTATGTGTCTTCAGAGAATCAAAGAGTAGAGTAAAAGAGTGGTAGGGGTGTTTCACACTATGCACTATATAACTTGTCACTTTGACGGTCACAAAGCGTAGTCCGATGCCATGGATTTTTTTATTTCCATATAGAAAAAATGTCAGATACTAAAGATGTCTGAAAGTGTGTGACTGATCAAAACCTATCTTCTCCTCTTGATATGTTCAATTGTAGCATGTTACATTTAGTATACCAGACTGTATCTAGCTGTAATCATAAAGTCTGTGGTTTTGTTCTCCTCATTATCCTGGAGTCGTGTGTTTTTTATTTTTTTTTTCTCTTTCCACGTAGATGCAGAGCCTGAAAGGTGGTACAGAAGCCATAGCCCAGTTGGACCAGTTAGAGGCTGATTATTATGATCTACAGCTTCAATTATATGAAGTGCAGTTTGAGATCTTGAAATGTGAAGAGCTGCTGCTAACAGCACAACTTGAAAGCATCAGAAGACTGATGTCAGGTGCTTTATGCATTTTAATTAAGATGTAATCTGTAAAAGATAGTTCTCTTCCTAAGAGTCTAGTAAAGCCTGTGGGAATGAAATGAGAACAGATTCTTTACCATGTGAAGAGCTGGATCTTCTAAATAAGTTCTGTTAAATTAAAATTTACACCTGTTCATAAGGCATATACATACACATACAGAAGTTTTGGTCTGGTTCTCATTGCCTGTGCTTGGAAATAAGCATATAAGATAGTATTTGAGTTTTGGAAAACTAAATTCAGGAAGGGGGAAACGTCTTAATTACTGGACTTGTCTCATTAAAAATTGGTATTATTCATTTCTTTGAAGTGATTGGTTTTCAGAAGGTATTCCTGCACATCAGGAGTCCTTCAGTTAAACTTTGAAGCTTGTTGTGTTGCCATCTCACTGATTTAGAGCAGTGATGCAACCTTATGTTTCCGGAACCTACTATATCTTGTGTACTTATAATCTATGGAAATGGTGCAGGTAAATCATAGAGCGTTTTTGAATCCAGTTCTGTCCTTTGGACCTTTCTATAGTTAATGTTTTTATTCACACAAGCTCTGTTTTATTTTTTAGTGCATAGGGATTACATAACAAATTTTGTTATGGATAGAAAAGTCACTTAAGAAGAGAGATTTGAAGCTGGATTATATTGTGAGTTGCCTCTGGACAAAGAGAAAACATAGGTATCACGGATACTTCTCACTGTTATGTGAATCTCCTCCTTTTAGGCTTGTGATGGCAACAACTGTAACTGCATGTATGGAAAACGAGGGTTGAAAACTCTGTAAATGACCTAAAAAAATGTGGCAGCTTTGACTGAGTGCCTCTGTGGAGAGCTAGTTAGTGCTTTAGAGACAGATAGTTTTCGTACTTGGGAAATCAGAAATTTAATTTTGGTAGTGAAGACACAGTATAGTTTGCTTACCTGTGGACTGAAGGAAATCCCTTGAACAGGAGGCTGAGAAGGAACGTGTATCAAAATCCTTTCTCTTTGATGCAGTGATAGTAAAACCTAACGGCCCTCAGAGATTAAGCCTGCTGTAAAAACATCATAGCTCATTACGACTTGTCACTAACGTTTTCTCCAGAAATCTCAAAAAAAAACCCCAACCCCACAACCTGACCCAAAATAAAATAAAACTCCCAGTCAGCTAAACAGCCAACCCTCTCCTTCCCTCAGGGCAACAAAATAGTTCACTGTTCTGGCTTCCTTTGCTGTTTTAAATTTGTAAAGTATTCTTTAACACAAAATCCAGAAGTGTTTGGTGTTTTTTTTTTTTCCTATTAAAGACAGCTGTCTATGTTAGAAGCAATTACTGTTTTTTAACGACTCTCAGTTAATATCCCATTGGACAGAAGATTAAAAATACAGTTCTTAAATGTGTGGGAATTTTGTTCAAAGGATGAAATTACTTTTTCGGCCTTTATTTAGGTGGAAGGGATAGTACAATTAATGTGAAGAATGTGACTCTGAAATGGCTACATCTCTTCAAGACTCTTCAGCACGTAATCTGAATGAAAGCATCTGAAACATGTAGTGGTCTTTTAATAAGTGTTGTTTCCTATGCAGTCAAAGAGGAAAGAATGGTCTGTTGCATCTTCTGTTACGCTTCCTTTTTAAAGTGTACTTATAGTCAATAAAGTAATAGCCTTTTAATTGTGCACATCTGTATGATTTGAAATACATGTGTCTTAATGACTTGTCAAAGCTGTTGCTATTCTTTACTCTTTGACTGTATTGGCTCTGCAGAGATATTTCAGAGAGTTTTTGATTCTGTTTTGATTTGAGGGACATCAGCAGTACTGCTAATGAAGTCCCAACAGAATTTTTTGAGAGCGTGATTTGATTTGATTTGACTGCCAGTTGGTTGTAAGCTAGAAGAAAAACATTTTATTGTGCAAATTCAGCACATTGGATCTGAAGAGTATCAAATGATAATAGATTGTCATATTATAAACAACAGTAGTAGTTTTTTACTGTCATTAACCAAATACCTGCACTAAAATTCACAAAATGTGAATTTGTTAGGTTAGAATTTTAAAGAGTCTTATCCTATCCATATAAACTATTCGTGCATCCTTGTAAGATGGTTTTGTGGTGGATGCGTTGCTGTCAACAGAGAATGCGATAGTAGGTTCCTGCTTTGGTTGGAGGCTGGGTTGAATGAGTGCAAATGGTGTGGATCATATCTAAAAAGGAATAATTCTAATTGTTCTATTTTAAGTGGTTGAGTCGTTAGAAGCTTAAGCACTTACCTAATTTATAGGCATTTCAAAAGCTCAAAAGCTGCTTGTAGAAAACTCTTGGAATGTTTGATTGAGGTTGCAATAGAGTTGCCAAGGTTTTTTTTTTCCAAATAGTAAAATATAATTTAACGTTATGTTTTAGAACTGGTAGATTTGACTAATTTGCAGCTGAGCCGTTAGGGTTTCACTTGTGAATTCCCATCTTTAACTCTGCATGAAAGTGTTCTAAAACAAAATTTGCATGTAAATTCTCCCACTTTATAAGTGCATGGCAAAATATAATCGTTGTTAGCCATGAGTCTTATTTTTACTCACTGATGACCCTAAGGGTCTAGTGACTTGGCAGTTTTACGTATGGATGAAACTTCATGTGTTGTTTTTTTTTTTTAATCTGAGCACTAAAGTAAAGAATCTACTAGGTCTGGTTTTATTAGTTTTTATTTTAAGGTTAATATAGTGCTGTGCTTTCTTTTCTGGTCCTGCCATGTCTTCTGCTGAGCTGAAATTAGCATGACAATCAGAATTTTGGTTGCAGCAGAGACTGTACACACAAATAACACGAAGTGACAACTGCTTTTAAAATGGACAGTGTACTGAAGAAAACCCTGCCCCTCTCCCCAAACAATCTAGTAGCAGAAGTAGGAGGAACTTAGGGTCTTGCTGAAAACAGTTGATGAAGTTGAAATGAGAAGGTTTGGTGGTGCTGCAGAGTGGACACTTGACAGTCATGCCCGTTGTATCTGCCTGTTTCAGCCAGCACTAATGCATATCCCTCTTGGTGTATTACGAAAATATCCTGCTTGGTATGCCAGTGGAATAAGGAAAAAGAGGCCTTTGCTGCTTCTTCATCCCAGCATTCTGCAGGGATTTATAATCATCATTCTTTCCTTCTTGGCAAGAGATGAGAAGGCAGCATTCAGAGATGAGCTCAATGTTATACTGAATGCTTCACTCAGGAGTGAAAAAAAAATCATGAGTGTTGATAAAACTATTAGTAATGACCTCCTTTTCAGGCTTGTAATGCTTTGAAGGATTGCCTCGAAGTTACCCTCCCTCTGCTGCCTCTGAGCAGAAGCAGTGACTGGGGGGTCAAAAACCTCCTAAGAAAGGATTTTTGGTGTTTTGTTGTCTGATTCCCCTTTCATGAAATTAATAGTAGGTTGTGGCAGGAGAATCTCATGCCAGACTCAGAAAGAGTCTGTATATCCTGAACTTTGTAGTGAAGACCAGAGGATGTTACTGCACATCGTGGGTCCCTTGTATTAGTTAAGAGACCTAAAGACATGCGTGGACATTGCGATTAAGTTAGGCTACAGACACAAGCGTACATTTACAGTTGCATTTGGTTTTTAATGCCCTGAGCTTACCTGAGTACCAGGGTGTGCTTCATTGGTTTTGATTTCTGTTCTTCATATAAACTTTAAAGCCCTACAGTGCTTTGCTGTTCAGTGCTTTTCCTCTGACCTTTTGATTTTTGATAGTCCTCTGAAAGGACTATAGCATTCTTCTACATTAAGTCTTGCAACTCAGTGGGGGGTTGTTGTTGAATAAAACAAAATGTTAACCAAAACCAAACTATTGATTTGATTTTTTCATTGCTGACATTTTTAAAACAGAGAAGAGAGATGAAGTGGTATATTATGACACTTATGAAAGTATGGAAGCCATGCTTGAAAAAGAGGATATGGCAACATCTATACACTTGCAGAAAGAGGAGCTGCAAAAGTTACAACAAAAAATCCGCCAGTTGGAAGCAAGGCGTGGACGTATTTCAGCCAAGAAAGCCTACCTCAGAAACAAGAAGGTATTATTAAATTGCAAATTTCTAGCATAATTAGCAAATTTAATAAAACTTCAAAAAAGGTTTCATTTCAGATACAACTTCCAAGTCTCCCAGAAGTTTCGTGGATTATATTTAGTACTTACTGAAAGTTGTTTTACAGAGTACCAAATACAATAGCATGTATTGTTAAATTGATATATTTAAGATTCAGTTTAGCTTTTGGCTTTAAAGGAACCTTTAATCACTTTGAAGTCAGTAAATAAACTTGTTTCTATTAACGAATGAGAATACTTTCATGTGGAAAATACATGCTAGAATGCATGTTTTCACAGAGAGTAGTTTTATATCTTTTTGCAGAAGAGAATTTTCAAGGGTGTTTTCTCACTAATGAGTTCTATTTTCATTCTCTTACCCCATCCTTTTAAACTTACATCATGTGTCATTGATACTCTGTATTCACCGGATATGTATGAAATCCAGTATATATTCTCAATTTGTATAACTAGGTGTGTATTTAGGGCCACTTTCCTTTTTCATATGTTACGTGATTAGGATGTTGTGCAGAAAATTGTTTTAATATAGCTACTGTTTTGAAACTGTGTATCGAGTGTATGTAAATAGGTTCATTCCTTTTTTCCAGAATGACTTGTTTATTGTTCCCTAGCAGTTTGCGGTTACATGTATATGCATTTTTAATGAGCAAGATAGCTTAATGAGTAGACTATATCAAAGTTCTGAGAGAGCATTGTAATACTTGTTACAAAATAGGTTTCCACCCCATACTATATAGTATAAGGCTATGCAGAAGTCGCAGTTGAGACCTCATTCTAGATTGGGATCAGGGGTTGGTGTGGTTGTATGTTGCCAGTCATGTCCCTTGATGTGGGAGGTGACAGCTTTATATAAACAGTTCTAGTAGATTGAGGGTAAAGCCTTCAGGTCTTGCCTCCCCTTCATAACTAATACAACTATTTCTGTACCTGAATCTGAAGCATAACAGAGCAAACAAAACAGTAGTTGATACATTTGATATTTTGGATTTTTTATATTTCTTCAATCACTGTCCTGTCTCTGATTAACACAATATGGAGAAGACTGCAAATAAATTATTATAAAAGAAACATCTTTTCTTAGCCAGTTCTCAGTTTGCTCAGAGTCATTGAGTTTGTTTTATGTGAGTTTGTAAAAAGAAAAAGTATCAAGAAGCTGGGCTTTTTAGTACTTTAAGCAATAGATCCTATCTGTCATATTATGCTAATCAATATAGGCTCCAGAATGTGAAAAGACACTGCTGGCATTTTACAGAGTACACAAACCTGTTTAAAAGCAACAGCCTGGCTGCTGTTCTTTACTTAACTTACGGGAGTTAAGTTGAGAAGCAACCCTGAAGCAGGACTAGAGATTTTTTAGCATGTCATCTTATCTGTGTAATGAACTAGTCACTTTCAGTTGGCTCATTTGTTTCAAGATTATGCTGTGATAAAATACCTTGTTTAAGCTGAAGGAATTAGTTTTAGGCTGTAACAGTAGTTGCAGCATGCCTGCCTGTGCACTGAGACATGATGCAGAGCTGTATATGGTAGTGTTGCTCATCTGGGTCTTCCTGCGGAAGTAATATAGTCACGTCTGCTCAGTTGTGCTGGAAGAACATGGCTATACTGCTTTCAGGACCTGAGATAATGTCTCCATGTGGAACTTCACTGCTGGACATCACAGCGTGGACCTCACAGTGCTATCAGAACTAGCTCCAGCGCTCTACTGATTTCATTGCCGAGCGTAGCATTATCTGCAGTTGAGTGCTGCAGTGAGAGACTTAGCTTTCAGCTTCTAAAGAAGTCACAGATTAGAATAACATGTATTGAAACTTGCAGGGGGAAATCAAAGATTTTTATTTGAGCAAAAAGAATAGGCAGAATCAGTTGTTGTGTGCCATTTTGCAGCACTTGTTGGGCAGAAAAGAACATAGCCGTTTTGATTGATATTTATGTTAGAGGTACTTACTGTAGCTGCTTTTATCACTGCTAAATAACACAGAGCCTTTCTAAGCTTAATAGTAATTACCTGAAAATCAAGACGCTTGTGGCTTTGATTCAAACATAAACAAGCTTTGTGTCTTGAGTGACCGTTCTAGTGATACTGCAAAACATTGTTAATGAACACTATTCACAGTGCCTGATGTGGGGTAGTTGTACTTTACAAAACTGGGAGGAAAAAAGGGTTCTTGCTCTGAAGAGTTTGCAGTTTAAGTTCAGCATGTAGAACAAAGATACAGATGGGATGCAAAAGCAGACTCTAGATGGTGAGAATGAGCGCAGTGATGACTGAATGCTAAGTGGAGAACAGAATGAGTTTGAGGCTGCATTTGGAAAGTACATACTATGTGGTAAATCTCTTTCTCAAAGTCTGTCTTTCTCAATTAAGAAACGTTTATTGTTGAACTGAGATGAGAGTCTACTTAATGCTTTTCAGATTGTGTTCCTGACCATGCTTGCTTCAGCGAAGTATCTTAAAACAGAACTGTAAACAAGTGTTCTGTTTTGGATTGGGTTGGTGAGGTTTTGGTGGTTTTTTTCCTTTTTCTTCTTCTGTTTTTTTTACCTTGTCAGTTCTGTAGTTGAAAACAAAAAGCAAGCTGTGCATTAAGTAGTGTATATGACACTCTTGTGATATATTTAGAAATTACAGTCCTTGCTCATTATTAGGTTTTTGGCAACTGAAGAGTCCCTTAGGAGAATGCCTCCTTTCTAGCAGCAGATACAATGATTAGAAAACAGTAAGAAATGATTCTGTATCGTCAGTTTTTATTTTTTGGAGGAGGACATTTCATCATCGGGGTATTTGAAAATTTTTTCTGTTAAGAAGGTATTGCAGTGAAAGGGAATCAATTACTCTATATAGAATAAGACTATATGTAATATAAATACAGACTTCTGTGACTGTAGTCTCTATTCAATTTGTTTTTCAGAAATTTGTTCACTGTTTTAGCAGTTGATGCTTTCATTTTTTAATTATGTTGTCAAATAATTGTACCAAACCTTTATTTAGAAACTTTTGCTAAAGGCTTGTTAGAAACCTCATTCAGTTGTGATTCTGAATAACTGAGCCAGCATTTTGTAAATTTATGGTTTTACAGAGGTTGATGTTCTTTCACTGTACTACCATAAGTATGAACCCTTTATTCTCATATTTTTTTAATATAAACCTATTTGCATTTGTTAAGCAATCATTTCCTGATGTTCCTTTGTGTTGATGACAGTGAGTTAGTTATTCAAAAATAAGATTTTAATAGCTGTCTCATTATTTTTCTTATTTCTTGAAAGCTAGTTATGGATTTTTCATGCAGGATATTCATGCAGGATATCGGTATTGTTATCCCACTCTACCCCCTGCTGGCTGCACGGTAGTATTAATTAGGTTATCATATGGAACAAGCAGCTGTTTTATTAGGGAGGTAGATTTATAGCAAAGAGTGAAGGTAAGAAAGATGGTGTAGAAGGTGTCTAGAAAAATATCTTTGGAAAAATAGAGGTGTGAAGAAATTGAATTATTTTACATCCAGGAAGAATATTCCTCATCATGAGCAGACTGGGAGAAGCAACTGGTTGGTGAAGCTGTTTGGGTTATGTTCATAATGTCTGCTTTGACCTAGGAAGCTTCCTCACATGCTGTTGTGTCCATTTAGTAGGACACCTTTACTACTTTGCAAGCCCACAGTTTAAAGCATAACCCATGCCAAAACAGGT